TATTTCTCTTTCCTTTGTATTCAGTACTTTACCCCTCTTCCCATCTCACCTGAGTTCTTGCTCTTAGCTCTCATTGAAGCTACTGCTTACATGATTTTTGAAAGGTACTACTAGCCCTTCATATACTTGGGCAGCTGAAAAGCTTCCAAATGTATATATTTGTGAGCATGGGGCAAGGAAGACCTTGTGCCCAACTTAACTTTACAGCTTGTAGAATTTATCATAAGGCTCCAAGGGAGATGCAAGTCCCGAAGGTTTCCTGAGTTCAGGGAGCAAAATGCTGTTCCAGCCCATTGCAGACAGAGCTGAGGGCAAGAGGAAGATTCCTTGGGAAAACTCTTATAATCCAGTGAAACAAAATCCAGAGTGAAATTCAAATGAATCCTCAATGCAAACATGTTTTGAATTCAAAGGGATGTCTTGCTATCTGATGTGGTCCATGCACATGTAAGGAAAATGAAAGCCTCGCAGAAGTAAGAGATTGACCTGAGTATGTCTGCAAGGATCCTACTAAGCTCCATCATAGAGGCAGGATCCTCCATCACAAAAATCAAATCTATTTTATGTATAGTTTGGTTGACCCAGGGACTGACAAGTCTAGGTAGGAACTGTGTTGTTAATTTTTTGCGAAGTATACCCCAAGGTGATGAAGGAGAGAACATAGTCCACTTCTCAGACTTACAGATGGGCATGAGCCCCCTTTGGTTGGTCTTGCTTACTGATGCCCAGCTGGATGGGAAGAACTTGTTTCAGGGCCATAACTAGGAAAAACACCTTATCAGCCAGTCTCTCATGTTCACTGATAACATCTCCAAATTTCTCCTGTGTGGATTCTATAGAGCATTGAGGACTTTCTTGAGGCTATCAACTTGATAGGCTATATACGAACACTTCATATATATAGTTCATGGGAAGTTATAAAAGCCTTTAAAGAAACCTGCAACAACCAAGAAAAAGCTTTGCATAGCAGAGGCAATAATCCCCTGTACAAACCGGTAGCACTGCATTTGCTTAATAGCATGCAGAAATCAGAGAGGAGGGAATAGCGAGATTTCAGAAGGAATTCCATGATCTGAATAGATCTTGGGCTGACAGACACATGATGGCTTGGTATTCAGATCTGGAGGTAACATCCAGAAGTCATGGGTGTTACTGTGGGTTCTGAATCTCCAACCTTTTTGTTATGGGCACACTGGAAGAACCATAGATAAGAAAGGTAAAGTAGCTAAAGATATTCAGAAAATTGACTGAGACAGGGTACCAAATCTTTTCAGGTGTGGCACAATCAAATAAAGCAGGCAATGTGAGCAGCCTGAGAAACATACAGATCAAAACATATTTAGGGGATCAGCACCAAAGAGAGTTATTGTCATTGCCAACATCTCTACTTCATCCCCCAATTTTTTTTTCCTTCAAAGCAGAGGACAGAATGACATGCACAGCTGTCAGGAAACCATAAGATATTACAATGGCTCCTTGGGACACACTTCATGTCAGTATTGTCCTGACTCTCCCGAAAGGCTAGTCCTGTTCTGGCACTGCCCAGATTAAGGAAGAGAAAAACAACTCTGTGAAAGCCAGCTGTTCCTCAAAAAATCCCAGGTGCAGCAAGTACCACTCTGCCTTTAATCTTTTTCTCTATTTGGTAGTATTTTCTCCAATGTACCTCAGGGCTGTGATCACTGGACATTCTAAAGAGGAAATCAATGGGCATAGATTTACAATTCTTCAACATAAGCTTTTAGAAACTAATTACATTTCAGTGAAATTTGTCCTCTGTAGGGAGTCAAGAAAAAGCAAGTTCAGCCTATTAGTGTGACCCACAGTTCCCACTGAAGTCAGGGAGAGTCTGGGAACAGAAAGAATAAAGTGTCTGTAACCAATGGGTCTAGTGATATTTCTATAATAAGAACCAGAAGGATTAAATGTAGGTCCAAAATGAAATGAGAGCACTTGGGATACTAGATGGCAACTGCAATAGTCAATGTAAACCCAGATGAGCTTCCCCAGGGAATAATTTGACCCTTGATTTTCACATTCATATATAGAGGCAGAAAAATAAAAGAATCAAATAAGTTAAAGAAAATGAAGACATTATCCAAAGGGATAATTGTTTGTGCTGCACCTCCAGCACAGGGGAACAGCACGTGGGAAGGACTGAAGAGCTGCACTCAATACTTTTGTCAATTCCCTCATCTGCTTTTAACAGTGTGAAATGCTGATTTGATTGTGCAGGTGATAAAAATTATGGCAAGAGGGATGCAGGGACAAATCCTCGCCATGGTGCATGGCAACCCCAGAGCCAGGTACACTTGTGCGGCTTGCTGTGCTTCTGCATACGCTCAAGCTCTGCAGACGTGCCCTTCTCTTCCTCCCTGCTGGAGCTGGGAGCCCAACCAGGAGCAGGGATGTCAGGTGGTAGCACAGAGACCTCTTCCTGGGGGATCCCTTGGCAGTCTCAAAATATAATAACATAACTAGCATCCCTATTCCTGATCAAAAGGGGCATGATAAGTCCTGCTGGGACAAAGGGCAGAATCATGTTCAGTTGGTCAGAAGGCTGCTTATGGGGATGGAGCTCTGATCTGCAGACAGGGGTTGCAGTGCATGATGCTGTCTGTGGGTTCTTGGAAAACAAACAAACAAACAAACAAAACCCCTAGATTTTAGCATGTCCAGTCAAGAGTTTCTTAGTTGTAAAAATGAGGGCTTAAAGAAAAATTATAAGAGGTCAAGTCTAGTCCACCTCTGAACAAAAGGACAAAAAAGCATTCCTGAAAGGGAGCAGTGATCTGCAAAAATATTCCATGCTTTATCATCTCCAGTCTTTGCTTTATTTTCCCTTTTGAAAAGGATAATAGTTAGAAGCCTGTCTGAAAGCCAAGCTTATAAGCAAGCAACAGTAGGGGTATATAGCCATCCAAAATACCAGTGGCTTGATTAGAGCTTAAATTTTCTGGGAGTCATGGAACTTCAAGTCTATCCTGAAAAATGTAAGATGAATAAACTTGGGTAGGAGATTCATGGTGATGTCAGTAATTCATGATAATGTTAGTCCTGTCTACAACCACACCTGCAAAAGCACGTAGGGTGAATATACTGACCCTGTGACAGGGTTTGATGGGCAGCAGCAAGGGCTGGGTTCAAATTTAATGCTGCTTTGAGTCCCTACCCAGAAACCTGTGAAAATTTTATATTAAACTTTCTGATGCTCAAGGAGCTAATTTTCCCAAACTGCAAGTATGAATCACATAACCAACAATTTTTTTTACTGAAGGGAGAAAAAAATAACAAGGTAGATAAGGAAGGTAATAATAACTAATACTTAAAGTGCAATTACACTATTAAACATTTACATCTCCCCTGCTGGAAAGAAAGCAAATGTTTGCTTTCCCCCTCCTGCAGTGACCTGCCCTAAGTTTAAGCCTTGCTAGGCACTGAAGCCTGACTTAAGCAGAGGCATCCGTTAGTGCATACCGGGGTGCCTCTGCCTGCAAGCTGGTCCCCCTGGCCATGCCTGCCACCTCTACTCACCCTCTGCTGTGTACCGGCTGATCTCGACAGCTGTCCCTCGGGTCACTCCCTCTCTTTACATCTCCAGCAATGGCTTTGGCTAATTCCAACAGCTCAGACTCAGTGTCATTATTTTGGGTTCTGGAAACAACTTTTTGTGCAGCACCATAAATCCAGAGGAAAATCTTTAACAGCTGCCTCTCAGAAACCTTGCAAGGAAATTTTGAATCTAGTCTTGTCTTGCCCTTTTTGGGCTCTAACATCTCCATCCCAGTCCTGGAGTTACCGCCTTCTGTTACAGTGATCAGCCAGGCACAACGTTTTCTTCTGTATGCTATAGAAGCTACTCACCTTTGTCTATCTAATGAACACAATTTCCTTTTTTACAGAAATGCTTCACAAATATGATAACACAGCAGAGACAGAATAAACATGTTTCAGTCTGTCCCATGGCTCTTTTCACTTATTCCCTCTTTGCACCACCAGCAGTCAACATAAGGTTCCTTCTTGTTTGTGATCCAATCCCTTCCTGAATTTTGAGGGGATCCATAAATGTTTTGCATTCATTTCAGGGTTTGTCCAGGATTACTAAAGTATCTCTGAACTTTATAAAACAGCAATAAAGCTGGTGCTCAGTTGCAAAATTAAGTGTAGTTTTCTGAACTCTCTTATTGACAGAAATATACAAGGGAAAAATCCTATTCCTCCACACCATGAAAATGTGTGGGGGAGAAAACAATCCTAACCATGCTCTTTTTTGGTTTCAGATCTCTTAATGCTTGAAAGCATTTAAAAAAGAGATAGAGATTTACTTTTCTTAATGGCATATTAATGCATCTTCAAATTAGGCATTAGGGATGGGAAATATTCAAGGGACTTAGTATTACCAATGGTTATTTCTGACCGTAATAATTTATGATATAGTAATTTACACTAATTACTATGAGGATTTAAAGTATCTGTTACTCAACACTTAAAAGTCGGGACGTGTTCTCATGTTGTAATAAATACAAGGCTTAGTCCATTAAGAACATGGCAGAAGCTACATCACTGTTCTAACAGGTGAGTTTGCAAGCATGAACACGTAGAACATAAACGTCTATAAACAGAATGCAAGTCTACATAAATCCACACCTCATACTGCCCACAAAAGCAGATGGTTGGCAGTTTTATAACACATCTTGGGGCTGGTGGGTGACTGATTCTGGGAGAGACTAGAGATGTTTCCCTTCCATTGGTAAAGAGCCTGGTATCAAACGCAGGCTATGTTCTGGATGTTGTTGGAGTATGCAGACTAAAGAAAAAACACCATATAGTGAGGACAATCTGAACTGCTGTGTTTGTGTTGTAAAGTTCACGTATTACATACAAAGACCTAACCATTTGTTCATCTTTTAAGGCCCCTGCCATATTTGGTTCCTTTTCTGTCAGGAAAATCCTTCACAGTGGATGAAACAACTTTGCTGTGTATTTTTGCTGTATTTCAGAGCAGATAACAATAGCCTTCACAGTGTCCATGGTGGTTGGACTGGTGATTGGAGGGATCATCTGGGCGTTGTTCACTTGCTTGTCCCATCGCAGAGCTAGCGCCCACATTTCCCAGGGGAGCTCCTCAGCCTTCAGCCGTCAGTCCAGATCCCCCTCCCATGGCCACACTACCGGCAGGACTGGATTTTACCGCAACA